ACGTGTGCTCTTCCGATCTCCCCAAAACCCCAAAACCCCGTGAAGGTAAATAAGAGAGTATATTAACAAAATAAAAATAAAAATAGAGAATAAAAAATATTTTGAAATCTTGCAGAGCCCTTATTCCTTATTATGTATTTATTTTGTTTAGATAATCTTCAAACTTTACCAAAGCTCTCAGTCATTCATAAACTTCATTTTATTGAATATTGTTAATTTAGACGTCGTCAAATCCTGCTGTAGGGTCATAATCATCATTACCATCTGGATGATTGTCTCTATTCTTATGTTAGTGAGTATTCTTCGATGCTTAAAGTTGAGTATTCATCATATGTGTTGGATTAGAGTTCATATGGTGTCCCATTCCTGCACTTATATGGGCGGTATGGATTTATGGCTGCATACTATTAAATTACGAAATAGGTTATTAAACATGATGGTTTACTCCAAAATGTGGTTAACCATGCATTTGGTGCTGTGCATGCATATTGTGACGCATATGATCAGCTTAGTCTTAGCGCATCTATGCAGCTTAATAATCTAATAAGGAAGGCGCACTACCAGCTGGCATACTTCCAATATTCATACCTGGAGGACCCATCATCATTTGTTAAGGATACATCATGTTCATTTAGCCATTAATAGCCATGTTTTATGGAGCAACACCGATTCCTATTTAGGCTGGATTTAAGCCATTCATTATTGGCACGCTGCTTGCGACCATCCTCATAATGTTCATATCAGGAGGTCCAACTACTCCTCTTTGCTGAGCTTTTTAGAACTCTGAGTGCTATTTAACATATCTTGGCATTTTCTTCTTGCAGCATTTATTTCTTCTACAGACTGTACTTCTAAAGCCATTAATGAATTAGTATTTGCAGCAAGCACTAGCCCAGCAAATAGTCAGTATTATTAAGAAAAAGGTTCCAAAAAATAGTGGTGGAATCACCATTACAGCAATGGGAGGACCATCAGGACCATCATCATCTAATATTCTAATGCTATCTTGACTTCTAACTAATTCAACTTCAGAGTATTGACTTTACAAACCAATATCTTGTTTTATTTCCAAAAAGTTAGAACTCATTACTATTGCATTTAGTTCCCTTTAATCTTAGAAACTTTGTGCTTTGGTCAATGAGATCTAGATTAATAAAAGAGAGACAATCACTAATTGGTGTGTCTTTCTAATTTATAGATTTTCCTTCATCTTGAAATCTTATTTTAGTTAATTTATACTTTTATTTCTGTTTTTATATCAAAAATTTTTTAAATATAAAGTCATTAGGGGTTTTGGGGTTTTGGGGTTTTGGGGTTTTGGGG